ATTATGGATTGAATTCTGACCCCAAGAAATATGTGTTTCAGACCCTAGCTGCTGTGCCTGTGGTTAGATTCCAATTTGGAAATAGATTGTCTTTGTTATGTTAATAAGACAGGATTAGAATGGGGTGTATTTCCATTCTAATGAGATACAAAAAGATTACACAAGCAGGCAGAGATAGGGTTAGACAGATGCAAGACATACGACGGGGCGATCTTGAAGGAACCAGGGAACATGATCAAGAGACCAGGACTCTTCTCCAGAGCTGGCACAGACAGAAGCTTCCCCTGGGGCCAGGGCTCTGATTTCAGACGTCCAGCCCCTCAACTGTGTGAAAAAAAATGTCTGTCTGTTACAGTCACCCACTGCATTTCTGTGACAGCAGCACCGATCACTAAGAAAGCCACCCATCAACACAATTCCATCAGTAGGCCCATCAAGGTCCACCTGTCCTCCAAGACCCAGCTCACAGCCAGTACACACCAGTCATTCAGCTGCCCAGGACTGCAACCTGAGGCTGAAAGGTTCATCCCCTCAGTGGGAAGGTTGACCTACCATTTCATCCTTTTTTATTTAAAGTCCTGATTTTAGTTCCTACTCCATAGGAATTGAGGAAGCATTAATTAACTTAATACACGTGACGTACCAAGAACAGTGTCTGGGACATGATAAGCCCTCCTGTGTTTATTTTTATTGTTGTGCGTCTTATTTTAGGAAATATTAGCAACTTTTCGCTTAGGCCAACTTGTCTTGGTTTCTGTTACAGCCAAGCAGAGATCTTGGTGTCATGAGTGGGATTTTAAGATGAAAATCCCTCAGGTGGCAGCTCCCCGGCCAAAAGGGAGAGATGATGGGCAGACAGAGGACGTGCAGGTTTGTTGAGTAAACTGTGTTCTCTTTATTTTGTGTGTGGGACTCCAATTGTGTGCCCATTAAGGGTGACACTTTAGATGCCAAACATCTAGACTCTAAATTTTAGAGGATCAAGTACAGGAAGAAGCGGAGGTCTCTGTGTGCCAGCGGCTCATTCAGTAAAGGAGTGGGTCAAGAACTCTTTCTACCCATTGTCAGTAGCTCAGGACCCCAAAAGCCAGACAGTTTTGTGTCTGGCTGGACTGGAGCAGCCAGATTCTATCCTTCGACCTATTTGTAGAAACAAATAGCTCCTTCAATGCTTTTGTAGAAAACTGTGGTTAAAATAGAGCCTGGCCTCTCAGCCATCCCAGTACCTCTGGATACTGAAGTACTGAGTTCCTCTGTGTGTCCACCTCTCCCCAGGACGCAGGAGGACCCCAGCCTCACCGTAGCAGGCTCGCCCATGTCCTGGGCCTGGACAGCTGCCCATCAGGTAGAGTCCCCTGCTCAGCGAGGAATCCAGAGGTGTGGGGCAGTCAACTCCCGGCAGCTCCCAGCTCACACCTGTGGACACTGGAAAGTAAACAGGGCAGCTCCTACAGCCAGGAACCCCCCCCACACACAAACACGCTCCTCCCCCTCCCCCCCACACACACACACACACACACACACACACACACACACACACACTGCCAGGGGTGCAGGGGAGAAGGCCCTTGGCAGAGGCACATGGCCAGGTGCAAATCCTGGTGCTGCCGAGACCACGCCCTGCATGCCTCCGTGTCTCTGCTGAGAACCCTTGTGTATGTCTGAGAACCCTGTGTGTCTGTGCCTGAGTGTGTGTGTGGGGGGGAGAGGGCTGTGAATGTGTACACACATATGGGAGACTGAGCCAAGAAGTGGCGTCTATGGACGGAGGGTCTCTCTCAGACCCCTTGTGGCAGGGAGGCTGCCTCTCTCGGGCCCTGAAGGTTCTGGCAGGGGAGGCCTGGCTCTGTTACCTATGGATCTTGGCACTGAAACAGAGAGTTCTGGGGGCCACACATTCCCTGCCCGGGAGCAGGAACAAGGCCATCGCCAAGGTTGGCCAGCTGCCCAGCCAGCCCCGGCCCTTTGCTGGCAAGGTCAGGCTCACAGGTCCATGGGCCTCTTCCCAGCAAAGGTGCAGGAAAGCCCACCGGTGTCTGGGGCTGGCATCCACCTCCCAGCTCTGCAGCAGAACCTCAGGGTGCCCAACCGTCCTGTGAGCTGGGCTCAGGCTCTCCGGGAATGGGTCCTGTCCCCATGGGCTGGGGGTGAGGGGGCGGTCCTGCCGGGCAGAGCAGTGACCGGTGGCCCCCCCCACGCCCCCTTCGCGGCCGGACACAGACTGCGCATGTGTCTTTACGAGGGGTTTATTTTTCCGGAACTCAAGTTGCTCACAGTTATTGACAAGAGAGTACACTGGGGGTTGGGGGTGGGGAGGCGGGGCTTGTCCGTTTGTCTGGTGCTGTCCGCGAGTGTCCGAGGTACAAAAGAGGAAGGCCAGCGGGCAGGTATTGCTTTCCGGCGGGGCGGGCGCCCGTTTGCGGGGGGCCCTCCCGCCTGCCCGGAGGGGCTCGCGCCGCTGCAGGCCCGGCCGCGCCTGGGTGGAGAGCCAGCCTGTGGTGGGGGGTCAGTGTAACAGAAGCATTAAAATCAATACAGGAGGGGTGGCGGGCGGGCAGCCTGCGAGGCAGGGCAGCGGGGCATGCGGTGAGGCCTTGGGGTCGCAGCCTGGCCTCCCCCCGCTGCGTCTGCCACCTGCCGAGGGGCGCCCATCGGCGACGCCCCAGGCCTCCGTATGTACAAGGGCAGACGCGCGCGGAGGGGCGCCACGCCCGCACTTCCTCTCGGGCTTTTTTTTTTAACTTTTAAAAATCATTTTAATTAAAAAAAAAACAAAACCCTGCGGCGCCCCCGGCTCCTGCTGCCCCTCCCCTCTGATCTTGGACACCAAACGGAACGTGTCCCCAAGCCGGTGGCGGTGCCACCCCCACCCGCCCGCCCGAGGGGCTGGGAAC